CAGCTTGGCACAACTTCATCCGACCCACAAAAAGGGGCTGTGAGCTGACAACACTGAGGTCTGGACCTGGACAGGATTGTAAAGCACTGCACCAAGAAAACCCTCCGCTGCAGGAGGAAAACATCACTCAGCATTTCTTAATTATTTACAACTCCCACCCACCATTGCTTTTCACTCTGTGTTTGTCCCCTCTGTAGGGCATTAGTGCACGCTCTCTGTGCACGGACCTATACGAGACATCATGTACAGAACAGTGGGTTCATGGAAAAAACTGAGATTCAGACAGAATTTAACTCTATTTTTGGAAACATTAAGGTTGTTTGTTGGTGTTTTAGGTCTGTGGCATCGACAAATTACCCATGTTTTCAGTGAGACAGGGGAGTAGACAGCGACCATCTGTGGAACAACCTGTGAGGGCTCTTCCCCTCCTTAAATGTGAGAGTGTTGCAGAATTTCAAAACACACACACTCTTGGCAGGCATGGCTCCCGGTCCCGCATCGCTGGAGAACAAACAGGAAAGACCATCCAGTAACCAACAAGCTACCATGCTGTTATCCTGCTATCACTGTTGGCCCTATCCAACAGACCTCTACAGGGTGGGGGCTGTGTTTTTCATTCTTAAATCAACACACTGAATAAGCAGTCCATGTCCTATATCCAGCAATCATCCTTAAATTTAGAGGAAAACTGTCTGCTGACCCACATTTTATCAGACATTTTCATGTAATTCGGTGGCTTCGTCTTTTATATCTGGGCCTTATTACTAGAGAAGTAAACGGCTATCGGACATGGAGCACTCAATTAACTGCAGTAAGAGCCTGCAGTAGTGCTCAAATTTGCTTGGCTGATGGTGATTAATCCCAGTATGCCCCAGAGGTTAGAAGTGAAGACTTTGAGAAACTGGTTGCTGATGCACCGGCCAGTCCTGCTCTTTTAATTTCCTCCCATCTTATCTCTGGGTAAACAACCGGTAAAGGCTTGTTGTATGCGTCTTTACCCCATTAATCAGAACTGACCTGCAGCTGGTGGTGTGTTGAGATATGCTTCTTAACATGTAAGTCCGATCTCCTATCAATCCCTCTGTGTGACGGACATGATTTTGTCTCTTTGTTGCTCTCCTTTGAAGCTCTGGCACGGATCAGCAGCTGGATATCTGACCCTCCCTTCTGTCCCACCAGCAAGCAGGTACAATGCCCCTGGGTGCTTTTAGCAGATCTCTGTTGGCAAACTAGACTATGTTACAACCTGGAAACACTGCCACACTAACAATAAGCGTTTTGAGACAAAACCCCCTGATTGGAAGCTTTGCTATTGACTTTGAATGCAAAGTGTTTTACTTTAGATGTCACTCTGTTGTCTAGGGTGAAGCCATGACTGCAGCTATGTACAGAGATTATAAAAGGTAGTGAACAGAGATGTTGCTTACAGATAGGCGTGTGTTTAAAGATTCAATCTTAGCCTGACTCTGTTTGGGATTTGTAAGCCCCCACTCTCTTGGGAGAACTTTGCTTATAGGACACATTAATTATACTCTCTTTTCCAATATGCCACAGTGTTTACGCAGATCTAATCAACTGTTTCAGAGAGGACGTTAAATCAATTCTCACCCACCAATCTCAGGAGAATTTGAAGATAGAGCCACTCCCTTCTGAAGCTCGGCCACAAACGGCAGAATAATCCCTCATACAGAACACATTTTTTAATGTGCTCAAAAGCAGCACACAGAAACCAAAATACATATTTTGAGTATAACATGTGATGTCGGTCTGAAGCACCATATATGTATTGTGTGGAGCACAAAGGAACATAGAGTCATGCACCTTTACTAACTGTGGCCATGGTAACAGCAAGATCAGAAGAAGAGAATCAGAATGATTAAAAAAGTGTGTGTGTGTGTGTGTGTGTGTGTGTGTGTGTGTGTGTGTGTGTGTGTGTGTGTGTGTGTGTGTGTGTGTGTGTGTGTGTGTGTGTCTCCACCAATCTGTGTAGATTATAACTGTACACAATTGTGCAAAAATGGGTTGCAATACAAGTATCAGTGGATCATGTTTCCTTCAATAAACTGTCTCAATTGATGCATCTTCTTCATCATGGTTAAAAAGACAGCATGGAAGAAGACATGGGATTATGGCTACAGTCGCCTTGTATGCTTCAGCTTTAAATTATGCATTTAGTGTGCTGAGCACTTACTTCATTCCTCCATATTTTTTTCACCTTTCCCTTTAACACCCATGTCTCCCAGTGTTTCTCGTTTTCTCCTGTTTGATGTGCCTAAGAAACAGTTTCCCTATTTTCTCTCTTGTCTAATTTAGTCTTTCTCTGGGAGGAAAACAGTGTGCTGGCAGGGAGTCAGAGAAATAGAGAGGTACCAGCAGAAGGGTGTCGTCCAATCACTACTGTGGTTGTTCATGTGAGAGGAGGCAGCTGCAGATATCTCTCAGACCGTTCATTCAGTCTTTTTCTCCCCTCCCCCATTTAATCCCCATGCTTCAGGTCTGTAGGAGGAGTTGGAGGTGGTGGAACGGAAAGGCGGATTCCTAGCTTCTTCTTTCCGTCCTCCATCCATATTAACACCAGAAACATGGAGCCCGTTTGGTCCAATAAGTCTGTTTACACACTCACTACTCTGACTAAGTGTAATAACACCACAGGTGCAGGATGAGGTAACAGCACTACTAGTAGGTGACTGACTGAATCACCTGTCTTGTGGCACAGCTGGAGTTCACATCTGCCCTGCCCACATCAGCTCTTTGACAGATGTGTTCCTCAAAGTCTGGAGGCACATCAAGCCCCAGTGTACACTCCTAAAAATCCTGCAGCAACGCCCAGGGACTGCAACCACACAATCTCCCACATGACTTACCAGGTCTGTTTTCTCAGATTTACAACAAGGAAGCAGCCGTGTTGTAGGAGTGCAGCCAGCCAACTGTCCTGCTTTAATTAATCTTAAAGGGGATTTAGCAAAGCTTATCAAGCCTAACCAAGAGTTATATTCATGGCCATTCATGCATAAACTGAGTATAATCACAACACCAAAGCCTGCTGTAGTAAATCAATGCAACTATTTTTAAATACGAAGGCAATCTGCACACCTCTGCATGAATGACGGCACAATTCTGCTGCAGAGAAATGTTCTCAGTAAGACATGTTTTCCTAAAACAAAGGAATGAATCAAAGGGTAATTTACATAATTTGTACCTCTCACAGGTTAATTAGCAGCAGCTCCATGTATGCTGAGTTGCACTGGCACAAACAAATGTTTCTTTTTCATTCAAATGACTCACTGAGTAACAGGCTCATAAACACAATGGTGTTATCAACATAATAAATACAGGCAATAAAATGTGTTCCCTCATCATCTCCAGCCCATCTCTCGGTCTTGTGAATGAAATGCTGCATCCATTCAACTTGTAAATGAGAAATTCTAACGCACTAAGTAAAATGCCAAATGCAATAACCCCACAGTGATTTTAGTTTGAGGATGCAATGTTTTAAAAAAAACCTTAGAAGGAGATGATAAAGCCTACCTGATAATCCAGCCCTGCTCTCCGCTCTCCTGTCTCCTCTCCCTCTCTCGGGGAGCTGTCAGGGAATGATGCGGACTAAATTTCTGTGCAGAGCCTGGTTACGACCACGGAGTCAGTCATTGCGCATGGTGCCTGTCACCAAAACCCGTGTTTTTATTTGTTGCCTGAAGGAGCAGTCTGTTGCTGGAGGCACAGCGGATCTCCACAATGCGTGGGAACTGGTTGTCTTTCCTGCGTTGTAGATGGAAAGCCCTTGGTACCCTGGGAAGGAAACCCCTGGATCTGAAGTGATAACACTGAAGCTTAAGTGGGCAGTCATCACCTGACGTGATTGTCTCTTTAACAGCGCAGGTCTAAATTTGTCTCATCATCATCCATGCAGCCTTATTGAGTCATTTTTCACAAGGTACTGTATTGACTGTAGTAATACAAATCACGTAAAAACAAGATGGTTGTTTAAAAGTTGACATTTCAATGGAAATAATAGAAGATAATTGAAACAATTTCTTAATTTAATTTAACTTAATGTTTCTTATGTTGTGTTGATTGTTTGTGTGTGTTTTTTTTAAATACCTTACTATTTGACAGAAAACACTGGACTTTATATTTCCCACACAATTATAACATGTGCTAACACCTCCCTTCTAGTGACACATTTTGGGTTAATATATGGTTTTACAGCAACTGCGCTATTTCCGCAAAAAAAACAAAAAACACTGAAATTCTAACATCAGTGTCTCAATTATAAGAGCATATGTACTTTGATACTTAGGCCTACTGTGGAGACATTGCGCCATCTAACGGATTGAGTGTGTATTGCATCAAGATAAAGGATGAAAACTCGCCCTTTTGCTTTGTTGCTAAATATATGTATGTGTTATAAGGGTGGAAATTGTATTTAAAAGATGCAAAACGCCCTCACCTGTAAATAATTTGGATTTACGTCATTATAGGGAGAGTTAATATCGGCTTCAGCCACACCTAAACCATGAGGAAAAGACGGTTGGTGAAGCAAGAGGTTACTCCTTTAGTACTTCCGTATTCGCCTCCCAAATATAGAATACTTACATTACTTCTATACTACTACTTGATACTGCTTTACTCATAAATCCAATCCACAGGTTGACTATGCAGAAAAAGATGGCATATCTATCGATAGTCGTATGCATGAAAGATGCTAGTATTCCCAAAAATTGGCTTTACTTAAGTTGTTTAACGAACACTCAATTCGCATGCGCAACACGAAGTTGCTTCTGCAAGTCAAAGGTGGAATGCTAGCCCTTTAGCTAGTTAAAGTTGTACTTTACGATCGTTTGAGACCCTTTTACATCTAGATATACTGCTCGATAGGAGGTATACACATGCTGGGTGGCTTTTGGGCTTTCGCCAATCAGCGGCGCTGGTGTGAACTATCTTGACATTATATTTTCTTTGGTCACGTGATCGAGTTTCACCGCTGTGATCACATGATTTGTTGTGTATATGATAAAGAAACATGGCTGCCCACCTATCGTACGGTAGAGTCAATTTAAACATCTTGAGAGAAGCTGCACGAAAAGAGCTTCGAGAGTTTTTGGACAAATGTGCGGGAAGTAAGGTAAGGAAATCACACTTATAAATGTAAAATGGCCGAAAAAGTGACAGTTGTGCATATCCACGAAGCTGACAGTTAAGCTAGCCTCTTGGGGCTGTCAAGGCTCGGCACATAATTCAAAATACTTGCAGTTTCTATAAAACTGAAGTCATGTTTTGATTGTGAATAGAATGACAATGTATCTATTTATTATTGTAACCAGTAGCTTCATAGGAGACAATGACCGCAAACATTTCCGCATAGAGATGTTTTTTCAGATCTTGCTACTTGTATACATTACTTTATATGCTCTTGCTCTTCAGGCCATAGTTTGGGATGAATATCTGACGGGACCTTTTGGACTGATAGCTCAATACTCTCTACTGAAGGTAAGTGATCTCTGTGCACTGCATTTGTTATTTTTAAGTAGCCCACACACAAGTCACAGGTCATGAATCTGAAGTTTTCAGATAGTAAACACATGTTATATGCTTATTACTGTGTTTTCCAGGAACATGAAGTTGAAAAGATGTTCACCCTCAAGAGTGGCAGACTCCCCGCTGCTGACGTCAAGAATATCATCTTCTTTGTTCGTCCCAGACTGGAACTCATGGACATCATCGCTGAGAATATCATCAGGTCAGTTTCTCTCTCAAAAACCCACATTTCAAACCATGATAAAGACAGTCTTATACCTGTATGTCCACACTTTTTAACACTTTTTTCCTGGATTTTGTGCTTTCAGTGAGGACAAGATGCATTCCCCACGAGACTTACATATTTTGTTTGTTCCTCGGCGGAGCATGTTGTGTGAACAGCGGCTGAAGGAGCAGGGCGTGTTGGCCTCCTTCATCAACATCGAAGAGTACATCCTGGACCTGATCCCCTATGATGGAGACCTGCTCTCCATGGAGTATGAGAGTGCTTTCAGGGTGTGTTCAATTTGTTCATCCCAAAATGAATATATATATATATATATATATATA